AGCAGTAAGATTTTATGCTGCAAAGATTGTACTTTCTGAGGTGGACCTCCTTAGATGTTTATTATTTTATGGAGTTCTCATCAGCTTATGTTTTTATGTAACTTAAGAGTGTGATTCACCTTTGTCAATAGAGATCACAATGATGCTAATCTAACATTAGTTTTATTACATGTGACCTTTTAGGTTTTGCTATGCTTTTATTTACATAATTTGTACACTTACAGGTAAATTCCCTTTGAATGGGGATGTCCCTTTTAAATGGTCTTGCTGTACTTCAACTGTACTGTTGACAACATCAAATTTAGATGTTTTTGTACTTGTGAAAATATACATAATGTTATTTCTGTCACAGTTATGCTCTTTCTCTGTCTTCACTGTGGTAGTTTGAAAATGCTATGTAAAATGTGCATGATGTTTTTTTCTTTGAGCAAGAAGAGGGAGTAGATATAATTGCAAATTCACTTCATCCAGGATTAGTTGTCACCAATATTGCCCGTCATTATTTGGGCATCTTTAATGGAAATTATTTAAGTGTTCGATGTTATGATTAGGATTTCTCCAGTGTGGCACATCATTTTTTCTTTCTTGATCCAAGGAAGCAATATGGATACTGTTACCTTGTACATAAAGCATGCAAATCACTTTACTTCCTTTGTGTTGCTACAGGCCTTTTTCACAAGATTGGTAAATTGTATTGAAGAGTTAGGAACCCTCTTGAATTCTTCAAACCCTAGCATTCTGCAGCTCTCATGAACTCTCAACTTCCTTTCCTCTTTTACCATTTGGTGACAAAGAGGGAAATGGCAAGATGAACTTAGTTCTCCACTAAGTTGCAAGATAATCCATTTGAAGTGCGAACAACTCTTAGTGGAATGTAACTTTTCTCAAGTGTTCTTGGCAATTACATGCCAATAGACATGTATACACTTCTTTTACTGCTAAAAAGTTATCAGGCATATTTGAGGTAAATTTTAGTTTTATTTCATAATAGTTTTATAAACATATTTGAGGTACTTTTTGTACCTCTTTAATAAAAATTTTTTTACTAATAAAAAAAATATTACTAATCTTATATAACATTATATATGTATATTAATAATATTTTATTAATTATTTTTTATTAATATATTAGTTTATATTAAAATTTTAAATATATATTTTTTTTCATTTCACGCCCCGGATGATGCCCGGGGTATTAACTAGTTTATATATAAACAACACCCTTCTCAAATAATATATTAATGAAGATGGAGACAAAAGGACAATAACTACATTTTTTTAAAATTTTTTTGGTAAAGAACAATAACTACATTTGGTCGACCAACATCTACCATGTCATTAATGGTCAGAGCAGTGGTAGCTGCAATCGCTTTAGCACTCTCCTTTGGAAACTCACCCTCACATTTTGCCACGTAACCTTGACTTTCAAACCTCTTGCCGGAAACGGATAATAACCAGTAACTGGATAAACGACAAAAGGTGGAGAAATTGCAATTTAATTAATTTTATTTTCATCTTCCCTGTTCACTACCTGTGCTTTTGTTTCCCTGTTTCCTAAAAGTCTAGAGATAGTATTCTGTTAAGAAGCACCAAAAATTGAAGGAATTAAGAAGGGAAAATGGAACAGAAAATTAGAAGGAATGGTTGATTAAGAAGGGAAAATGGAACAGGATCTAATTGTTCTAAAAAATGGCCGATTCAATCATTTTGAAAACAAAAGGATGTTTTTCTTATTAGCCTTCCTTTCCCTTTCAAAATAATAAGACCCAGATTTTAAACAAAAAAAAGCATTAAATGCAAACAGGTAGGGTTTTGTGGTCCTTGAAAGGCATGGATATTTATGATTTTTTTCTGTTGTCATCCTCATTAATTATTTTTACATTCATTTTTACGGTGGATGATTAGTTATATCTTTTTGAAAAGAATTTTTAGAATTTTAAATAGGGTACCATTATGATTTTAAATTTAAATTGAATAAATTTATTAACAGTTTAAATATCAATCTTAATGAATTGAAGAGGGGATCTGCAAAAGTTTTGGCTATTGGTGAGAGAGGAAAGAGAGTACAGAAAGAAGAATGTAGAGTAGGGCATGGGGTCCGTTTAAAAATCGTTGCCGGTTCCCTGTGAATGAGTGAATCCCTCGTAAGTAAGGGTTACGTGGCTACATCAGAGCGTGAATTTCCAAAAGAGAGTGTTCGAGCAGTTGCTGCTAGCATTGCTCTTAATGGTCGTTAAAATTTGGTTAAAACCTTATTTTGGTCTTTAAATTATTATATGAACTTTTAATTTGATTCTTAAACTAAAAAAATCTTTGATTTGGTCCTTATTGTTTACTATTTTTACCTCGATTTGGTCCTTTCATTAAAAATATGATGATGAAGCCTATTACTTTACTGTTACAAGATGACATGTCAAATATTATTACACATGGAAGATAATATGACAAAAAAGGTGATGACATGGAAAAAATAATAATATAAAAAAATATTATGAAAAATAAAACTTAAAAAATCCTCTCTTTTTTTCCTTTTCCTTTTCCTTCTCTTTCCCTTTCTTTTTCCCTTTCCCTTTCTCTTTCCCCTTGGAACCTAGCACGCCTGGGTTCCTTCGAACCTAGCAACTAGGAACCTAGATCTTGGATTGAGGCAAAAAATTAACAAATTTTTTTTTTTTTTTTTTGGGTTTTGGTTATTTGATGGTGATGAAAAATTGATTGATGAAGATGAAGAAGGCAAGGCAAGGCAACCGTTGGGTTCTTGCAGGTGCTGGTTCCAAATCAAACCCAGCAAGCGCTGGAAATCGAACCAAGCAGGTGCTGGGTTCTGTTTCAAACCTAGCAACTGTTGGGTTCCTGCAGGTGCTAGGTCGGTGGAACCCAGCGGCTACTAAGTTCGAGCAGCCACTATGTCCCTGCAGGTGCTTGGTTCCGTTTCGAACCTAGCAACCATTGGGTTGATGGATCTGTTGAGTTCAATACGTTCATCGATTTGTTGTCTTTTGTGCTATCCTCGGATTCTTGCAGGTGCTAGGTTTCATCCAAGTGTTGGATTCTATTTCGAACCCAATTGCTGTTGGGTCAAAGGATCTATTGAGTTCAATATTGTCATAACTCAAATTTTTAATAGGATTTTATTTTAGTTTTATTTTATTTTATTTTATTTTAACTAATATGTTTTTATCTTTGTTTTCCTTGTTAGATTCATGAGTAAAAGGGGGATTTTTTTTTTTTTTTAGAAAGGGTTCTCTTTTGGTTGGGGGTTCTCTTTTGGAGGGTTTTTCTTTTCGAGAGAAGTTCTCTTGGTTTGAGTTTGGGGTGTTGCTGGAAACAACAATTAGAAGAGGAGGATCGTTGAGCTTCCAGAATTCACCGAGCAAGATTGTGCATTTTTTTGGGTTCTCATCTTAGGTATTTTCCTGCAACAGAAGAGTCATTTTGGGAGGCAGTGAAGGGGATGATCTGGACTTGATCTCGTGGGAGGGATCCGCCAGATCGAACTCCAAACTGTTACCCAGAAAACTCTGCCGTGTTTGTTTCTTTTTTTCTCCTGTTTGTGTTATCTGCCTTCATGATGTTAAGTTTGTATATGTTTATCTGAAAATGAATGAGAATCTAAGTTTAACTAAGTTATTGTGTTTTGATGAATTTACTCTTTCTTTGCTGATTGGCGAATGTGATTTTCTCATGACAAATGTGTTCTTTCTTTTCTTTTAAGAGTGATGAACTTTAATTGCAAGTTTCCTTCCCCATGTTTGATCTGTTTTGGTTTATTTTGAGTAGTGGATCGTGTTTTTGGCTTGGATAAACCCGATCCAATCAAAAAAAAAAAAAAGGTTAAAAAAATATATAATTATTAATTAATTAAATGAGTTAGTTTAATTTATGATTAATGAAATTAATTAATTTTAATTAAAATAAATTAATCACATTTATTGAGTTTGATTTGAGATAATTAGATTTATTTAGTTATCTCAATTAATGATTAAGAAATGTGATTAATTAATTTTAATTAATTTTAAATAATGTTAAGTTAATTATTTACTTAAATTAATTATCTTGATTAATTAATTTTAATTCTCAATTAACTTTAGTTTTGGTCAAAGTCAAAGTTATCTTTTATTTTATTTCAATTTTACCCAAAAGTTTTTAAGATTAAGCAATTTAGTCTCAAGGTTTCAAATCTTTTTAAATCAATCCTCCATGTTTTCAAATTTAATCAAATTAGTCCCTTTAATTCTTCTTTGTGCTTATGATGCATGCATGTCTTTGATTTTGTCCATTTTAGTCCAAAAATTAAAAAAATGTTTCAATTTGGTTTACCCTTCTTTCAAGCTTGCTTATTAAGACTTAAATACAAACATAATGAATAAGTTGAATCAAAACCCCAATTTTAAAGTATGCAACCATGTTTAAATGGAGAATTGTGAGGTGTGCGTAGTGCGTATGTCATTTCTCACTCCTAATCGAACCCCCAAACCCCAATCTCTGCGCAGACCCGTTTTTGGTGACTTGTCCTACCTTATAATTTGGATGAGTGACAACTCCCTTTTCTTTTATATTTTTACACTAGATAATTTTTCATTTATTTTTGAAAAAAAATCTTAAGTGGTCATCAATAGACTGGCGACTCCATTGGGGACTCGAACCTAGAATCTTTGGTTCCCATATTCTAGGTTCACGAGGGTCAAGCTAATACTTTAACTTTGGGAGAATTTTCAACTTTTGATTTTCTTTGTTTGTTGAGTCTTTGTTGGTCTTTGTGCTTGTTGCGTGTTGCTTGTTGCTTGTTGCTTGTTGCGTGTTGCTTGTTGCTTGTTGCTTGTTGCTTGTTTGCTCATCGTTTTAGTGGTTGCTTTGAGCATTTTGTCTTTGAATAGTTACCTTACTACATCTTGACATGCATCATACTTTGCTAACATGTTCATGCATCATATTATCTCACATGCTTATGCATCATTGATATAACATGCTTATTCATCATGCATCATGCTTACATGCCTACTTGCTTGTGCGTGGATATACTCACCTTTTACACTTGGCTATGGAGTACTCAATGAGTCTCTTCCCTCTTGTGTGATTATTTATATCTTGTTGCATGCTAAGTGTTGGTTGCTTAATGTCACTAACTTTTTGCATTTGGCATGGGAGTACTAGGTGAGTCCCTTCCTGCTATGTAAGTAGGTTTGTTTGTGGATGATATATTTGTTGAGTGCTTTACATGCTTTATTTGATTGTCGTGGGATATATGTTGTTCCTTTTTGTGGTTGCCATTGTGCAAGTTATCGGAGTGTCATGCCCCTTGCACACACTCACTCTCATTTTGCATTAGGTTCGTGTCGGAGGTGAACCCGACCTCTAGTCTGGAATCCTTATGAATCTGGCTTGGAAGAGCAATTCTTCCTGCTTTGAGGAGTAAGATCAATTCCCGTTAGGTTGTTTCCATAGGTTAATACAACACCTGATGATGTAATATCATCTTGTGTATTAGCTTTTGGAAATATCTCCTGTTGATTCCGAAAGGATAAATGGTTGAAAAGGCCTAATGCCCTTTAGGAAAACATGTATTGGCCTTAAGGAGATACCAACCCTAGGACATGTTTCCCTTAGCATCCCACCCGTGAGGTTAGGGATCCCGTGCCTAAGACACAAAAGAGGCATTTTACTTCATTAACCTTGTCTTCGCATATGGCAGCTTATCTTTATATTCTTAAAGAGGTATGGCATGTGAGGGTATGATTTATGTTTAACTCTTTTAAGCTTTGTGTTTAGGTAACATTGTGCATTAGGCATGGATTTTACCGAGGATACAATTAGACAAGGAAAGAGGCATGAGGAGGGCATCACATCTCATTCTACTGCTAAAAAGGCCAAGAGGTCCATCTTTTCAGTCAATACCTCCAAACCCGACTTGAAGTTGTTGAAAGAGGCTTATGGCTTGTTGTCCTCTAGGGAAAAGCATGACTTTGAGGTCCGATTTGGGTGCATTGTGGATTTATTGTCAGTGGTGCTGGATTGGAATTTGTTCAAAGCCATGTTGAAATTCTATGTGCCAAAATGTCAAGCTTTTGGTGTTTCCTCATTTTGAGTTGGTGCCCACCATTGATGAGTATCATCACTTCTTGCGGTGTAGTCCTACGGTGGATTCTTGTACCTTTACTCCTCAAATACAACTTGATCAACTTGGAGGAAATTTTGTTACTTGGGAGCTTTTGTACAAACATCAGAAATCTAGATTTGTGAAAGAAAACTTGCTTGAATGAATACTATCTTTCTTCTTGGTCAAAAGTGTATCCGATGAAGTAAAATCCATGATTAGGATAGAAATTTTCTTTTTTCAAGTCTCATATCACATATGCATATTCATTTGATTATACATGATCACTCACTATCTTTATCTGGTCATTTTGTGTTTAGTTTTCAAGCCCTTTTTGTTTGGACCATCTATGATCTTTGAAAAGAAATATGGATTCTCACACATCTAAGACACAAGTTTCTTCACACAAGACTTTGTTGGAGTTTTTTGCCCGTACTCAAAGGCTCAATGAAGAGACCATCTTTTATTTGCACCAGTTGACTAAGGACAATGAACACTTTCGCAAAGCCAATGAGCAGTTGGAAAGGCAACTACAAGACATGACTATCGACTGTAGTTACCATGGAAGATGTGCACTGTCAACTCCAAGCCTAGAAGCAAAAGAACCAAACTCTTGTTGACAAGAACACTAGCCTGAATGAAGTTGTCAGTGACATAACCGCTTTGGTGACTCAATTTGAAGGGAAGATAGTCGAGACTCATCATCACATTGCTTAAAAGACCCATCCGATTGAAAGGGGATTCTTCCAACCAGTCTTCGACTTCATCATTGACATATCTAAGAGTTTGTATCAGGATTTGTGTTTTGTAATGAAAGCTTTGTAATGCTTGCTAACTTTGAATGCAACTTTGTAATGCTCGTTAACTTTGTTTAAAGTGCATTTCTTTAGTTAATGAAAAGTCATGTTCTAGTAAAATAGGAAAATATCTTTGCACAAAATGGGAATGCTAGTGTGAGAATCCATATGGAATTTCAAAAGGAAATTGATGGACCAATCAAAAGGGGCTAAAATCTCTTTAGTTTTCTCATTTTTTCCTTTTATCTTTACATTTCTGTTTCTAGGTAAAAGTTCTTTAATCATAGCTCCAAGGTGGAAGATCTTCAAAAGGCGACGTTCTCCGTAATTGCTCAGATCTAGAGTAATGTTCGAAGAAAATACTACTACTAATTTGGAAAAATCAGCTGTTGATGAAAGGGTTGATAAATTAGAGGCTACAATGCAAGCTATGGCTACGACTCTTCAGGCCATCAGTCTTACTTTGTCAAATCTAACTACTAGTTATGTTTCTTCATCTACGGCCTTGGTGCCTACAATACCTACCTCATCTGTTCCTATTCCATCATCTACCATCGCACCGAGTAGTCGTGCTAAGGCTCCCATAGTCACACAAGTATAATTTCCACCTATTTATGAGAATCAACCTCTAATGGTGGAGTCATCTTCACATGCTCCACAAATATCATCTCTACCCTTTGAAGCCTTATACCAACCACTTGAGATGAACAACCCAACCTTGCCCACAACCATACCACCTTTGATGGGACAAGTGCCAGCTATTCAACCCAACCCCTCGGTTGAGATATTGAGGCCTACTTTCGAGGATGGGAAGTCAAGAGAGGTTGATCACAAGTTGCAACAATTGGAAGAGGCTTTGAAAGCGATGCAAGGGCTACAATCTTATGGTTCTATTGATTTAGATGATCTTTGCTACTATCCAGGAATTCAGACAAATTTCAAGTTCAAATAGCTGGATTTTGACAAGTATGATGGCTCAGGTTGTCCTTATGCCCACCTGCAAATGTATGCCAGGAATATGGCACCTTATGCTAATGATGAAAGGGTGCTTATTCATTATTTTCAAGACAGTCTATCAGGCCCAGCAAGTGTTTGGTTTTCAACACTTGACAAAAAGAAGATTTGCACTTTCAAGGATGTTTCTCAAGCTGTTATGAAGCAGTATGAGTATAATATGAGTTTAGCCCCTACAAGGGATAGCTTGCAGAGAATCACCAAGAAAGGTAATGAGACTTTCAAAGAATTCGCTCAACGGTGGAGATCTAAAGCAGCCAAAGTCATTCCACCTCTTACCAACAGTGAAATTTGCTCTCTCTTTATCAAGTCAACTACCGGAACCTTTCGTGCATGGTTAGCTCCTTGTGTGGGATATACTTTTGCTCAGTTAGTGACAATGGGTGAACAGATTAAGGAGGGACTAAAGGCAAGTGTTATTATGGACTTTTAAACTATCCAGAGGTAGTTAGAGCAAGTTAAGATGGGAAGTTCGAGATCTACTTTGAAAAGGTTCTCACCTAAAGGGAAGAAAGAAGATGAGGAAGCTTTGAATCACATTTTCACTAGTCATGCCAAGCCAATCTATAATATGGCAAATGTTCCTTACAATCGGCAGCCTCAATTATAGCACACTCTAATCTTCAAGTCTACCACCTACCCTCAAAGGAGGCCAAACTTCAATGCTCATGCTCTAGTTAGACAGCAATTCCCCTCGATAAATAGGTCGAGACAGTTCACCAAGTTTCCAATCCCTTATAGTGAGGTGCTAAAACAATTAGTGGCAGTGGGTTTGATGCAGACAGTGCAAGCAAACCCTGTGCAACCACCTTATCCTTACGGGTATGATCCACAAGCTAAATGTGAATATCATAATGTAACAGGTCATGGTATCGAATATTGTACAACTCTGAAACATAAAATTCAAGATCTCATTGATGAAGGAAAACTCCAACTTGATGAAACTAAGAGTGCTCCAAGCATCACTCAGAATCCTTTACCTCCACATGGTGCACCCACCATGAATATGATTACCCTCAACGAAGTTGATAGACCCATATTGGAAAATGCCAGTTCATGGTCTCTTGATGAATTATTTGCCATTTTTATAAAGTATGATCTTATTCAGCCAATTGCATCAATGAGCTCAGATGTTTTGCCTGTGACAATTGATGATGCTTTGGTGTGTCTTATCACTGTAATATGAAGGGGCATACTTTGCAAAATTGTGGAGATTTTCAAAGAAAAATTACGAAGCTACAAAGAATGGGATCTCTGAAGTTCATGTTTGCTCCAGAGTGAGAGAAATTCATAGCACCAGTGACCGAAGAATACTTCACTAAGGAGAAGCCTTACATTTTGCAAGATACTACAAAAGCACAAGTCATTAATCAGCCTTATGTCTTGAAGACCTCCCTTAGTGAGTCACTCATGGGAAAGACATCATCTATGGTTATGCCTCAACACTCTACCATCTTGAATTCCACAACCAATGATGTGTACAACATGACCCGTAGTGGTCGGTGCTATGTGAATCCCGAACTGGAAGAATTGAGAAGGGTTGCCTTGAAGTCAAAAGACATCAAAATTGAAGAGATACTAGAAGAATCACCCAAGAAGCTAGTGTCAGAAAATGAAGTTACAGAATTTTTGAATATTTTGAGGAAGAGTGAGTATAGCATCATTGAACAGCTCAACAAAACCCTTGCAAAAATTTCTGTTTTAAAATTAATGCTATCATCTGAGGTTCATCTTGATGCATTGCTCAGAGTCTTGAAAGAGGCCCATGTGCCTAGGAACATTGATACTCAGAAGTTTGAGACTGTGGTTGGGGCAATCTTAACTCCAAATTATATTAATTTCATCGATGACGAGATTCCCGACGAAGGAAATGGACATACCAAGGCTCTCCATATTTTAGTCCAGTGTAGGATGATGAATGTGCCTCATGTGTTGATTGATAATGGGTCAGCTTTGAATGTGATTCCTATGACGATCTTGAAGCAATTAAAGGTGGATGAGTCTCACATTAATCAGTGCAATACAGTGGTTCGTGCTTTTGACGGAACAAAAAGGAATGTGATTGGAAAGATTGAGCTTCTAGTGGAAATTGGTCCTATGGCTTTTGATGTGGATTTCTTCGTCATGGATATTTCTCCCACTTTTAATATGCTTCTTGGGAGGCCTTGGATACATGTTGTCGGAGCAGTACCGTCCACTTTGCATCAAAAGGTCAAATACATTGTCAATGGTGTTCTTGTCACGGTGAATGGTGAGGAAGAGCATGTCATCTAAAAGGCTACAACCATTCCTTACTTGGGAGTTGATCCTTAAACTCATGAGTCCTCTGATCATTGAATGGAGTGTGCTGCTGCTTCTTATATTCACCCAAGGTTCACAGGGAAAAGGGTTGAAATGGCTAAACTTACCAAAGTTGTTGCTAGAATCATGCTTTCATGTCATTATCAGTTGGGAGAAGGTTTGGGATTGAATGGACAAGGAATTCTTGAGCCTATTGAAGTAATTCAACCTTGGGGCATTTTTGGTTTGGGATACAAACCGAAGAAGGAAGATTGGAAGAGAATGCATGCTATTAAAGTAGAGAAACACCTTGCTAGACTTCAAGGGAGAGACCCAAGGGATGAACCAATGTGGGTGCCGCACATTAGAGTCACGTTTCCACGACCTGTTGAGATTTTGTGCCCTTCTCTTGATGGTTATATAGTAAAGCATATGGGTGTTTTGTTTGTAGATCTAGAGGGTACTGTTTTCATTGACAGATTGCTTGAAATCGGGGAATGTTCAAAACAAGCAAAGTTTGAGGAAGTGGTGGTGGAAGATATCACCGATGAAGTCTGTTCTGATGATGAGGAAGACAATTTTGGTTTCAACAACCTCTTTGGGCTAGCCAACATGACAGATCCTAAGGAAAGGTGGAGAAGGATGCTCACTGAAAGGGCATCTATGGAAAAGCACCCCAACCTCCAACTCATTCATCATGCAAAAGCTCCAATGGATCCACATGAGTCTGTGCTCCTTGAAACAGTGAAGGAAGAATCACTATGTGACTCATGGGGAAATTTGACTATAAATGCTCTAGATGAGGAAGGACTGGAATTTGATAGGGGAATTTCTCATGCCAACGGAAGCTCTCAAGCTAATTGGGCAACAGAACTTCTCCCTGTAGCTTTCATCTCCGAGTAAGAAGAGTCAGCCTCTAATAGTTCTGCTTGTGACTACATGAAGGGAGGGATTCAACACGCATTTTTATATTTTCTGAAATCTATGGTATCATGCTTCTAGTGTTCCCATGCTTTCCTTTTCAATGAAACATGTTGCAATCCTACCTATCATTGTAAAAATCATCATGATGCAACTTTAGTTGAACTTTTATTGTACAAGCCACTCTTTAATTATATATTTTATGAGGTTATCTAGTAACATGTTCCTATCTTTGCTTTATTATCATTTGGCCATTTATTTACTTCCACCCCAAATTTTCAGGCTTGCTAATGACGAATCTTTAAACAATGATGCCATATCAAACTTTCTATATGAGATTGATGATCAGACCTATAAAGAAGAAGACAATGAAAATCTCGATCCTTCTCATGAACTAACTCAAATGCTAAGAGAGGAAAAACCGAAGCTGCAACCAAATCAAGAGACAGAAACAATTAATCTAGGTATTGAAGATGATAGAAAGGAGATAAAAATCAATGCTCATCTATCCTCAGAGGAAAGAAAAGAATTGATGGAGCTCTTATTTGAGTTCCAAGATGTTTTTGCTTGGTCCTATTAGGACATGCTGGGACTTGATCCTAATATCACTGTTCACGCCATTCTACTCTATTCTGAGGCCAAGCCAGTCAAGCAAAAGCTAAGGAGGATGAAACCAGAGGTTCTGTTGAAAGTCAAAGAAGAAATACAAAAGCTGTTAGATGTCAATTTCATGGAAGTAGCTATGTATCCGGAATGGGTGGCCAATATCGTACCTTTAATGAAAAAGGATGGCCAGGTTAGAATCTACGTGGATTATAGAGACTTGAACAAAGCAAGCCCCAAGGATGATTTCCCATTGCCTCACATCCAAATTCTACTAGTAATGCTGCCAAAAATGCTCGGTTCTCTTTTGTTGATGGCTACTCTGGGTACAATCAGATAAAAATGAAGGAGGAAGATAAGCCCAAGACAACATTTATCACAAAATGGGGTACCTTTTGCTACAAAGTTATGCCTTTTGGACTCAAAAATGCCGGGGCAACATACCAACACTCTGTGATTTCTTTACTACATGACTTTGTGCATACCATTGTTAAGCTATATGTTGATGACATGGTGATTATGTCCACAGAAAAGGTGCTACATATAGAAAATCTCAAGAAGGTGTTTGAACGCCTTAGAAGATACAAAATGAGATTCAATCCTGCCAAATGTACTTTTGATGTGGATTCGGGAAAGCTACTTGGCTTCATTGTGAGCCGTCGAGGAATATAGATTGATCCAGCCAAAATAAAAGCCATTGATGAAATGCCACCACTAAAAAACCAAAAAGAAGTTCGAAGTTTTTGGGTAGAATTAATTACATTGCCCGTTTCATTGCCAACCTTACCACCATTTGTGAGCCTATCTTCAAACTCCTCAGAAAAGACAACCTTCATACTTGGAATGACCAATGCCAACAAGCCTTTGACAAAATCAAGGAATACCTCAAAAGCCCATCAATCCTTGTGCCTTCAACCGATAAAAGGCCTTTCATCCTATATATCATTGTCCTTGAAGAATCCATGGGAGTCGCCCTTGTCCAACATGATGACTTATGCAAGAAAGAGATAGCCATCTATTATGTGAGCAAAAAGTTCAATGATTGTGAGAGTAAATACTCACCCTTAGAAAAAACTTGTTGTGCCTTAGCCTGCACATCCAAGAAACTTCGCCACTACATGTTAACCAACACCACTTACCTACTTTCAAGAATGAATCCCATAAAATTCATTTTTGAAAAACCTACCCTTTTTGGAAAGATCTCTCGGTGGCATATGTTGCTTTCCGAATTTGATATTGTTTACACCACACAAAAGGCCATCAAAGGGTAAGCCATTGTAGATCATTTAGTCGAACATGCGGCAGAGGATTATGAGCCTATTGATTGGGATTTTCCTGATGAGGACATTTTGGCAGTGGAGGCAGAATCTGATTCAGATAATTGGAAGCTCTTCTTTGATGGAGCTGTTAACAAGCTTGGTTGTGGCCTTGGAGCCATGTTGGTATCCCTAAAGGGAGATCATTTTCCTATTGCTATAAAGCTTGATTTTGCTTGTACCAACAACATAGCCAAATATGAAGCTTGTATTGCAGGAATACATGCTGCTTTGGATATGAATGTTCAAGATTTGGAGATCTACGATAATTCAACACTAATCATATGTCAAACAAATGGCGATTAGCAAACCAAGGATCCAAAACTTATTCCCTATCACCAATACCTTGAAACTCTCATCAAGAAGTTTAGATTCATCTCTTTATACCATATGCCCTGTACCAAGAACCAATTCGCGGATGCTTTGGCAACTTTAGCCTCCATGATCCAAATCTCCAAGGATGATGTGATTAAGCCTTTGGTGATTGAAATTAGTCAAGAACCAGCACATTGCATGGAAATCAAGGTCGATGACAAACCATGGTTTCATGATATTAAACAATTCTTGCAAAATGGGGAATACCTTTTATATGCTTCTGAGGTGAACAAGAAGACAATCAGAAAATTGGCAACCTCATACTTCTTGAGCGAAAATACATTGTATAAGCGCTCTATTGATATGACCTTGTTGAGATGTGTTGATGAAAAAAAAGCAAAACAAGTCATGACTGAGGTCCATGAAGGGATATGTGGAACACATGCAAATGGAAGAATGCTTGCTAGAAAAATTCTCCGGCCTGGCTATTATTGGTTGACTATGGAACATGATTGCATCAAATATGCACGAGCTGGTCACAAATGTCAGATTAATGCTGATCATATTAATGCTCCGCCTTTATTACTGCATAATATGTCCGCTCCATGGCCGTTCTCCATGTGGAGCATTGATGTGATTGGGGCAATTAATCCTAAAGCTTCCAATGGTCATCAATTATCTTGGTTGCTATTGATTATTTTACCAAATGGGTAGAAGCAACATCTTATGCTAGTGTTACCAAGAAGGTGGTCACTCGCTTCATCAAAAGAGAGATCATCTACAGATATGGACAGCCGGAGGCCATCATTATTGATAATGAAAGCAATTTGAACAATGACATGATGACTACGTTATGCAAGCAATTCAAGATCAAGCATTATAACTCTTCTCCATACCGACCAAAGATGAATGGTGCGGTGGAAGCTGCCAACAAGAATATCAAGAAGATTCTAGCTAAAATGGCAGTCACTTACAAAGATTGGCATGAAATGTTGCCAAATGCTCTCCATGCTTATAGAACCTCTGTTCGCACTTCAACTAGGGCAACACCTTATTCCTTAGTATATGGAATGGAGGCAATATTACCAATTGAGCTAGAAACCTCTTCTACGAGAATCTTATCCGAGTCAGGGGTTGATGAAGAAGACTTGATTCAGAAAATGATAGATTATCTCAATTTGCTTAATGAAAAAAGATTGGCAACTCTTTGTCATGGCCAATGCTATCAGCAACGAATGGCAGCAGCTTACAACAAGAAAGTCAAACCTAGAGTGTTTCATCAAGGAGATCTCATCTTAAGAAAGATCATGCCAGATGAAAGGGATCCTAGGGGCAAATTCGCACCGAATTATAAAGGGCCCTATGTTGTTAAAAAAGCTTTCTCGGGAGGAGCACTCTTGTTGAGATATCCAAATGGAACTAATTATCATCACCTAGTGAATGCCGATGCTGTTAAAATGTATTATTGCTAAAAAAAAAAAAAAAATTTAGGTTGAAAACCTGAAAGGGCAGCCTAACAAATTAAATGTTTCCTTGACTTGGAAAGTTGAAAATCCAATGATGAAAGGCCCTGTTTCTCTACCCTAAATAGTTGAACATTACCCTCTTTGCTTACCCCTTTTGAGCCAGAAAAAAAAGGCAATCATTCAAATTTACAAAAGCCAGAATGATTTTCTTTCTATTAACCCACATTATTGACCGGGGAAGTGAAGAGAGAGATGTGAGGGGAACATATGGATTTTGAGCCTTTATCGTTTCTTTCATCGTAACCAAACCCCAAGCCACGTTACAAGCTCGTATGAAAGTCCTTATCTGAGGGTTTAAAGCTTTCTTTGTCAAGGGACACAAAAAAAAAAAAAAAGAGAGAAAGAAAGAAGAAATAGCAAAGCTCCAAGCATTGACAGCGGAAACTTCCTTATTCTGAGCATGAGAGTTAGTTCATGAAAAGGGAAAGATTTGAAGTGTCAATATTCAAAAAAGGAATGAGACTCTCTCTCATGGACTAAAGAACTGAGGGGCAGAGTTGTAAAGAAAAGATGATCTAAAGCAACGATTTATGGTCTGAATATCTTGTAACCAGTTGCATCAAAATCTTGTATTATTGGCTAGACTTCTTTTGTCACTATCCAAAGTTGACCTTTTGATCATCCTAACCTTGGTTGAATCTAATGAAATAAATCATTGCAATCATTCTGTTTGCACTTTATTCCAACCTTACGTTTTATTCAGTATTAGGAATGCTAGTTGAGCATGAGACTCTATTTCAGTTAATATATTTGCTTATTTAATCAAAATCTCTTGATGAATTTGCAAGGTTGGATGAGAATTACAAGGAGAAAGGAAGCTGAATTCGATAGCTAAGAAGTCATCCATGCTAGCTGAAATTCCAATAGCAAATGAAAGTTCAACTTATCGGGGCAATATTTTCAAATATCTCTTCATGGGAAACAAATGAGATTCTACCTTTGGCATTCCATAGAGTATTCATAAATATAAATCTACTGAGCTGCTACATAGAGATGATCACAGGTTGATGAATGAACAACATAAAGCACATTTGATTCTCACCGAATATGGGCTTCCAACATGTTAAGGGAAGTTTCTTAACCTCCTTTCATTTTCACCTTATCTTATATGTGAAAATTGTCTCATTTACATCTTTTTCATTGTCACCACATTTGTCAAACATTACTTTTGTCCACTCCTTAACCATTCAATATCAACTCATTCGGTCATTGCGGTTAAAATACCGTTCTGGTGTGGTTCGAAAACCATTTCTACTCAGTTAAAAAATCATTTCTTACCTGGTTAAAAAACCATTTCTTACTCGGTTAAAAAATCATTTTTGCTCAACCTACTTGGTCATTTTTGCTCAACCTGCTTGGTCGTTTGACCGTAGCCACTCAAAACTAGCTCGGTCGTTTAACCATAGCAACTCGACTCAATCGGCTAAAAAGCCGTTTTTACTTCGTTAAAAAATCGTTTCTTGTGTGGTTCAAAACCATTTCTACTCGGTTAAAAAAACTGTTTCTTACTTGGTTAAAAAACCATTTTTTGCTTGGTTAAAAAACCGTTTCTGCTCAACTGGCTTGGTCGTTTGACCGTAGTCACTCAAAACTAGCTCGGTCGTTTGACCGTAGTCACTCAAAACTAGCTCGGTCGTTTGACCATAGCAACTCGACTCACTTGGCTAAAAAGCCATTTTTACTCGGTTAAAAAACCGTTTTTACTTGGTTAAAAAACCATTTTTTGTTTGATTAAAAAATCGTTTCTGCTCAACTGGCTCAGTCGTTTGACCGTAGCAACTCGACTTACTCGATTAAAAAACCGTTTCTTGCTTGGTTCAAAAACCATTTCTTGCTCGATTAAAAAAATCGTTTCTTGCTTGGTTCAAAAATCATTTCCCGCTCAATTGAAAAAATCGTTTCTTGCTTGGTTCAAAAACCATTTCTATTCGGTTAAAAAACCATTTTTTACTTGGTTCAAAAACCATTTCCCCCTCGGTTAAAAAACCTTTCTTGCTTGGTTCAAAAATCATTTCTACTCGGTTAAAAAAACCGTTTCTTACTTGGTTCAAAAACCATTTCTCCCTCAGTTAAAAAACCATTTCTTGCTTGGTCCAAAAACCATTTCTACTCGGTTAAAAAAACCGTCTTACTTGGTTCAAAAACCATTTCTCCCCTAGTTAAAAAACCGTTTCTTACTTGGTTCAAAAACCATTTCTCCCTTGGTTAAAAAACCATTTCTCCCTTGGTTAAAAAACCGTTTCTTACTTGGTTCAAAAACCATTTCCCTCTCGATTAAAAAAATCGTTTCTTGCTCGGTTCAAAAACCATTTTCGCTCGGTTAAAAATAAAAAAGTTGAAAAAAAAATGTTTGAGTTTTTTTTATCTTTTCTTTTCATTCTTAACAGAAAGAAAAGAAAAGAAAAGAAGGGCAATTGTCATAACTCAAATTTTTAATAGGATTTTATTTTAGTTTTATTTTATTTTATTTTAACTAATATGTTTTTATCTTTGTTTTCCTTGTTAGGTTCATGAGTAAAAGGGGGATTTTTTTTTATATATATAAGGGGTTCTCTTTTGGTTGGGGGTTCTCTGTTGGAGGGTTTTTCTTTTCGGGAGAAGTTCTCTTGGTCTGAGTTTGGGGTGTTGCTAGAAACAGCAGTTAGAAGAAGAAGATCATTGAGCTTCCAGAATTTACTAAGCAAGATTGTGCATTTTTTTGGGTTTTCATCTTAGGTATTTTCCTGCAACAGAGGAGTCCTTTTAGAAAGCAGTGAAGGGGATGATCTGGACTTGATCTCGTGGGAGGGATCCGCCAAATCGGACTCCGATTTATTACCTAGAAAACTCCGCCATGTTTGTTTCTTTTTTTCTCCTGTTTCTGTTATCTGCCTTCATGATGTTAAGTTTGTATATGTTTATCTGAAAATGAATGAGAATCTAAGTTTAACTAAGTTATTGTGTTTTAATGAATTTACTCTTTCTTTGCTGATTGGCAAATGTGATTTTCTCATGACAAACGTGTTCTTTCTTTTCTTTTAAGAGTGATGAACTTTAATTGCGAGTTTCCTTCCCCATGTTTGATCTTGTAAGGATAGGTCCAAGGTGCCCAACCTCGAACGTATAGCAGTAATTCCTTTATAACCGAAGTGAAGGATAAACCCAACACTTCCCGCTCAAATAGCTGCATGACAACGACGATGAGCATGCCCGCACCTGATCCCTTATGACAAGCTACACAACAGTTACGATGAACATGCTCACATTTGAGCATCTCCCAATTTCCCGATCCCGAAATAACCGTCTGGAGAGACATGTCAGACTCCGATTATCTTGCTTGGCATGCCACGTGGGTTCCTCACTGAAGCCTATAAATACCCCCCAGGGGCCACGTCAAAAAGGTGATTGAAACCAACCTTAAGCTCTTTTTACCTTCATCCTAAAGGTAGCCCCGATTATTGTTGACTTAAGCATCGGAGTGTCTACCTCGAGTTCCACCTCAGGGTTTTTCAGGTCAATCCGGAGTGCAGACACGGACTGAAGAAGGACTTCTGGTTTGGTGCATTTACATTTGGCACCGTCTGTGGGAAACCGAATTGAAAGCTTTCTTGTTGCTCTCTCATAATGGTTAACACTCGATCAGTCTAAGTTGGAAATCCATCTCAGCCTCTCGGACAAGGTCAAGTCCCCAACAACCTTCCATCTCACCTCCCACCTCAAATCCCAAATATGTTCCCTCTTGTTGATCATGTAGAAGGAGGAGATGAAAACCAACCTCACAACTCAGCTCACAACTCAGCTTCTACCGCCAATCAAGACGTAGTTGCAGTTCAGCTTGCTGTCATGCAACAACAGTTTGGTGTTTTTCAGTTAGTATTGGCTCAGCTCTTAGCTCGAAACAACCTTGGTGATCCTCTCATCAATTTATTCAACCCTGCTCCACAACCCCCAGCTCCACAGCAAGACCCTCAACTAGTTTAGCATGCTCCTGCTCTTAGTGAATCTCAGGGTCAATCTCACATAGCACTAGCTCAGCAACCCCTTCCTGATGATGTCACTCAACATCTGGACAGCTTAGAAAAATTGGTAGCTGAACAGCGAGGTGCCCCACCTCCACGCTATATTGCTGACTCCATACCCCATCCTCTAAACACCAACATCACACTAGAACCCTATCCCGCTGGCTTTAAAATACCTCAACTTGAGACTTATGATGGGACGAAGGATCCCGATGATCACCTACATGCTTTCTATTCTTGTATGCAAGCTTAGAACGCCTCTGACACGTTGATGTGCAAAATCTTTCCCTCTACTCTCCGAGGTAATGCTCGAACCTGGTATTATAGCCTACCTCCGAGGTCAATCAGCTCTTATACAGAAATGGCATCTGCTTTTGCCACAAAGTTTTCCAATATAAGGTTGATCAGGAAAACTACTTCTGAGTTGATGTGAGTTAAACAAAGAGATGAAGAATCTTTGACGAATTACATGAGCAGATTCAATGATGCAGTGTTGGAAGTTAGTTCTTTCGACCAGGCTGTGGGAACTGCAGCTGTGATCTCAAGTCTTAACCATGAGAGATTCGGAGATAGTTTGATCAAGCATCCTACCACAACCTTTAATGAGGTGAATGATAGATCCTTGAAATTCATAACTATTGAGGAATATACCCTGTCGCAGAAGCCAACCCCCTCTAAGAACCAAAGCCCAAATTGGAGAGATGAGAATCAGAGCAGGAAACGAATGAGGACAGTACAGAACCGAGGTCCGATGTCGACCTCCACACCGAGATTCGGAAGGCCGAACTTAGCACCTCCACAACAATCTGCAAGTAAACCTCCAGTTACTTGGACCCCTTTTACTTTGCCGAGGTCACAGATTTTCATGCAGATTAAGAGTAAGATGAACTTAAGGCGTCCGGGCCCAATGAGAACTGCTGCTGGTAGCCAAGATCATACTAGATATTGTGATTTTTATCAAGATCACGGTCATACAAAAGAGCAATGCAACAGTCTAAGGTCCGAACTGGAAAGTCTAGCTTAGAAAGGAATGTTGAATGAGTACATCCAGAGAGCTGAACAGCCAAGATTTGTCAGAGAACAGGGACCACAGCCTCAAGGAATCCATAATCCACCAAACAGGCAAGGAGTGGGACATCAACAAGCCCCACCTTCACTTCCACTACCAGCTAGAATTATACACATGATTATAGGAGGATTGAGCTCCAAATAGAGAAAGTTATATGTCAGAGAGGTAAAGCACCAAAACCGAGCTCAGAAAAGGAAACTTGATGATGCTAGTTGGAAAGATCAACCAATCACTTTTACACTCGTTGATTTTGAAGGGGTGATAATACCTCACAATGACCCTTTGGTCACCTCAGTAATGATCAACAACTGTCAAGTCCAGCGTGTACTTGTTGACACTGGCAGTGCACTTGACATCATGTACTATCACTATTTTGAGAGCCTAGGGCTTGACCCAGCTTTGCTATAATGTTACGATGGTCCTATATATGGCTTTAACAACCAACTAGTTCCAGTCGAAGGGGTCCTAACCATGAATGTTACATTTGGAAGTGGCCGAACCTATGTGACTCCTTCAATTCGATTTATGGTGGTCAAGATGCCTTCCTCTTTCAACATCGTCATTGGCCGGCTCACATTAATAGAGATCCGAGCTGTGGTCTCTCAATCTCATCTCTGCATGAAATTTCCAATCCCCATGGGAATTGCAACACTCAGAGGTAACTAGGAAGTGGCCAGACATTGCTATCTCACTTTGGTCACAAGGCCACAGAAAAACACAGACCAACCAGCAAAGAACCCTCCATAGAAAATCCATGACAATCAGCAAGTGATGGGGGTTGAAATCCTTGATAACCGACCTGAGGATGAAACCCGAGCTGCTCCGGGTGAAGATGTAGAGGAGGTACAGATTGATGAAAAAGATCCGAACAGAAAAACACAGATAGGAACTTGGTTGAACCCTAAGGAGAAAGCAGAGTTGATAACATTTCTCCGAACCAACAAAGATGTTTTCGCATGGACCTCAGCAGACATGCCAGGGATTCCCACCTTGGTATCTCAACACAAACTCAGCACTAATCCACTTAAGAAACCAGTGGCCCATAAGTGACACCTCTTTGGGGGGGTTAAAGGTCATAAAAGAAGAAGTTGAAAAACTCTTACAAGCTGGCTTCGTCAGACGGGTCGATTATTGTGAATAGGTCGCCAATCCTGTGTTGGTGAAAAAAGCAAATGGCAAATGACAGATGTGCATCGATTACACTAATCTCAACCAGGCATGTTCAAAAGACTATTACCCAATGCCAAACATTGACAAGCTAGTTGAGGTAGCTTCTGGAAACGAGAGATTAAGTCTCTTAGATGCATACTTTAGTTACCACCAAGTCCCGATGGCTCCTGAGGACGAAGATAAAACCTCATTCTATGCCGGAGACGAAATTTATTGCTACATGATGATGCCCTTCGACTTAAAAAACGCAGGTGCCACTTACTAGAAGATGGTTACCATCGTATTCCGAGCTCAAATAGGCTGAAATCTGGAAGTCTATGTTGATGATATCGTGGTAAAGAGTTTGAAAGCTGAAGATCATTTAACTGACCTCGAGGAGATATTCAACAATCTCAGAAAAAATAGAATGAGGTTGAATCCAACAAAATGCATCTTCGGTGTGGAGTCTGAAAAATTTCTAGGCTTCATGGTGTCCAAAGGGGGATTGAGGTTAACCCCAAGAAGATCAAAGCAGTAGCCAAGATGGAACCACCGAAGTCAGTAAAAGACGTGCAGAGGCTGACAGGGAGAGTAGCAGCTCTTCATAGATTCATCTCGAAATCAGTAGATAAATGCCTGCCATTCTTCAGGATCATGAGATCAGCAGCCCAGAAGGATGAATCTCGCAAACAAAAGAAGTTTGAATGGAATTCAGAATGCCAAGCTGCATTTGATGAGCTGAAGTCTTATCTTAGCTCACCCCCTCTACTGACAAAGCCAAAAATGATGGAAATCAGCATAGATCCTAGCACACCGGGCTGGACAGATCCAATTATCTCATTTTTACGAGGTGGAACAGTGCTTGTAGATAAACAAGAAGAGATGAGGTTGAGGAAGAAAGCATCTCGGTATACCCTTGTTAATGAAGTCCTCTACAAGAGATCCTTCTCACTCCATCTACTCCGCTGCTTGAACCCTTATGAGGCTGAATACGCACTTCAGGAGGTGCATGAGGGTGTCTGCGGAAGTCACATTGGTGCTCGAACTTTGGCTCATAAAGTCCTTAGACAAGGATATTACTGGCCCAACATGTATAAAGATGCCACTCAGTTCGTACAGAGGTGTCAGAAATGTCAGTTCTTTGCACATCTAATTCATCAGCCAGCAAAAGAGCTCACTAATCTGGTAGCACCTTGGCCATTTGCTTAGTGGGGACTTGATCTCTTAGGTCCATTTATGAAAGGGGTAGGAGGCGTAACCCATCTGATAGTTGGTGTAGATTATTTTACGAAATGGATTGAAGCTCGGCCATTATCTAGTCTTACCTCCAAGAAGGTCGAAGACTTTGTTTTTAGCTCAATCATATGCAAATATGGGATCCCAAATTAGATTGTGGCTGATAATGGAACTCAGTTCAACTGCTCCTCATTTAGAGATTTCTGCTCCAGTTATGGGATCAAATTGCAGTTCACCTTGGTGTACCACTCGGAGTCTAATGGGATGGTAGAATCTATCAACAAAGTTATACTCGAGGGGATAAAACCAAGATTAGAGCTGCATAAGGCCAGGTGGGCAGACGAGCTCAAGAACGTTCGCTGGGCATACAGAACTACGAGCCAAACTACCATAGGTATTACTTCAAACCTGGTTTACTTGATTAACTTTCATATTATTTTACTTTTTCCTCTACGGCTTTATCTTAGATCAAATATGCATAACGCGTAAAGCACATTCTAAAATTATAATTAACTAAAATAGGTGAAACACCCTATCACTTGGCCTTTGGTACCGAAACAGTCATTCCCATCGAGATAGGAGTCCCAAGCTTCAGGGTCACCCATTTCGATGAAGGACGAAATGGACAACTGCTTCATGAGAACCTTGATCTGCTTGACGAAGTTAGAGAAGAAGTACGGCTTCGAACTCTAGTTTACAAGCAGAAATTAGCCAACTTCTAAAACAAACGAGTTCGACCTCGAACACTCAAAGTAGGAGACCTTGTTCTCAGGAAAACTGGTCTAACGGGGTTCGAAACTCGATTTGGAAAGTTAGCACCAAACTGGGAAGGCCCCTACACTTTAGCCGAAGTGCCGCACCTAGGTGCTTATATCCTATGGGACACTGAAGGCAAAAGGGTTCCTAGAGTCTGGAATATCAATAACTTGAAGAAGTTCTATCCTTAATACACTTCTTTCAAGTAAACTTTATCTTATTTTTTATAATCATCATTATTCTCTCTCTTTCTGCTCAATCTAATGTATATACGAGCTCAATTCATTTATCTCATTAATGAGTTTCACTTCATGTTCGAAGTGATTCAATTCTTTCTACTCTTCTGTACATTGAAAGTGAATTTCACTTATACCTGAAGTTAATTCATTGTGACTTATTTAGTCACTTCACTTTCTGGGTTACTATTCTATTAATCAATTACACTTTACTTTTGGAGTGACTTACTTCATCTTTTTTCATTTGTATATTTGAGGTCCGCCTCATGTATATCCAAGTCAATTTCCTAGCTGTCCATTTTACTGTGTCCAAGGTCAATTCCTTGTATTAATTAAGGCCACTTTATTTTATCCGAAGTGGTTTACTTAAAACAAACAACAATCAAACATTAAAATATAAACACCAAAAATACCTTCAAAAATTTTATAAATCAGTAAAAAATCAATTACAAAATTGTTCATTACAAACATAACTAAAAAATAGAAAATCCTAAGCTATTCTGCTGAGGAAGGAGGCTGCTCCTCAACAGGAAGAGGTGGTTAAGGTGGCTGATCCCCAATTGGCAGAGGTGGCACTTCTGCTTTAGGAGGAGCTGGTTGCACTTTGTCAAAGGAAACAGGATGAACATCAGGAGGCTGGACTTTGGCCGGGTCTGCTTGGTTCTCAACTCCAGCATCTTGCACTTCTTCCTCTTCCTCTACCGCCACGAACTCAGCATCAAAGGCTGGAGGAAAGATAGTGCGTCCCTTTGCATCACGTTCCCACCTCAGCTTAATCAGAGGTCGGAAGTCGACAGAAAGACTCTCACCGTCCTCCTCCACCCCTTCTTCTCGATCGTTGAAGGTGATCATTGTTACTTCCACTTCGGGATACTAAGCTTTCACCTTCTTTCTACAGTCAGTGGATGCCAAGATCGCAGTCGGCAGCCGGTAGAGGTTAATGATGTTCTCAAAGGTGCTGGAGCTGAGGAAGTTGCCAATATGCTTTTCCATCCCGTTGTGAACCAGCAGATCTATATTTTTTTTCAACTCTGCCATTCCTTTGTTCATGTTCTCGATATACTTGTCTTGAGCCTCAATCTTGTCTTCACAAATCTTCCTCTTACGCTCTTTGAAGACAAGTCTTGTGCTCAAGGTATCTCTGTCGTTCTGGAGCTCGGTTACTGCTTGCACAATCTCATCCAGCTTCCTCTGCATCTATTGATTCTTCCTCTGCAGCTCCTCCTTCTCCTTTTGCAGCTCCTCACACTGCCTCTGCAAGTTGGCGCGATCTCTCACGCTCTCCTTATGCTCTTGCGCCAGAGCGTTTACCCAGCTTGCACTTTACAAAGCAAGCAAAAGTCAGAACTCAAACGCAGAAGTCAAAAAATTAAAAATAAAATATGAATAAATTTTAACTTCTTTACATACCTCCAGGGCATGCCTCACAACGCGAGTCCCCAATTGGCTCACTGCCTCTTCCCTCGCCTACCTCCTATCCACCTCAAGAAGAGTTGCGTTGAGAAACCGCTTCGCCCCAGTGATGTTCATTGCCTCGAATAAACTCTTTTGGAACAAAGGAGGAGGGATGAGTTCCTTGCCTTTACTAGGGCCTCGCACCTCGTCCTCCTCCCTCTCCCTGACTTCAGGATCAACCTCAACAGGAGAAGGTCGAGGTATGAATTCAACCACCTCATCCCCCCTAGCTTCTGGCTCCACCACCTTCATTTTCTTCCTCTGAAGTGGCGCCACCTCTTTACTCACTTCTTCACTACTTCTCCTCATGCGCTCTGGTCTTTGCTACACTTCTACAACTTGAGCAGAAGTGTTGGACAGGTGTTCCCTCTCTACTACCCCCTTATCTACCACAGTTGAAGTCTTTGACTTCAACCGTGGCTTCTTCAGGATAGCCAGCCCCCCAGCAGCATTTAAAAAGCCCTTCATCTCAGCTGCAAAACAAACACAAGTGTTAAAACACACTAACTGAAAGCTCAAATAAGTTGTACAAAACAAAAATAAATAAAAATTCGCTCAATGAGCTTGGCCCATAAAGCTTGGCATCCTCTATCGCCTTCAAGCTGGTGAGGTACATGATATCCACTAACTCCCCTTCCTCCCTCACCAGCTTCCCTACCTCCTTCACCTCATCCTCATTTAACTTATACTCGTTTTGCTTGGCTTTCTTAGCTTTCCAAGCAGACAAGTATTCCACTTTGGCATCCCTCCTACTCTACTCGATGTCATCCACAAAGAAGAATTTTTCTTTCCATCTTTTAATGGATGATGGTCCAACAGTGAATAAACTCTTATTCTCTTTGCTGGACATCCAAGGTCCAAAGTAATACCACCCCTTTTCACTCTTACCCCTAGCCCTTATTATAAAAAAATGTTTAAACATATTTATAGCAGGGACCCCAATACTCCGAGCTTGGCAGTATACTATAAAGCCTATTATTGTTCTTATAGCATTTGGGGTTAATTGGGTTATTCATATACTATACTATAATAATTACCCAACCAGTAACTCTGAAATGGGAAACCTAAGCCCTGCTGCCAAATAATGGACATATATGGGCATCTAGTGATCTCGAGGTGCTGAGCACGCTTTCTCATTCACCTCGGCAAGCCTAATTAAAACATGGTAAGGAAGGTTGCAGTTACCTACAAGACCCCTAAGGCTATTCCTGCTACCCAATTCGCTCTCATACTCCCTTACCTCAGACACTATGCCTAAGTTTGGGTCATAACACCTATCTCCATTACCCTCAACCTCCATGATGTTCAAAGGAATCTCTTTTTCCTCCTCTTCCACCATCTCTCACCCCCTTCTCTCCTCCACTGTCCTTTCCGAACTAGACGAAGACGGACTACTCTCTGAGTCCATACCACCATACTCCAGAGGCATCACCTCACTTCTTACACACTCATTGTTCCTTTTGAAGACATCTCCTCAATTTCTACATGAAGTTGGAGGAGGAATGAAGTCAAGATCCTTAATGAACTCTAACGCACACTCAATAATATTCTCACTCCCAACCCTAACTTCCTTCAGAAGACTCAAAATCAAAAACAGAAAGGGAGAAAGGAGAGCGACACTTCGTTAAAATCAAAATCAAAGAATCATATACATTACTTGATTTTGGTCTTGTGAAACTGGTATTGAAGTCCCAAACAGAGCACAGAGGTTAACCACACGAAACCGTAGAAATTTAACAAGAATTTGGTAGCGAAATAGCGAAAGTAAAACCTTTTTTTACAGAAGTATTGCCTTTTATACCAAAGAGAAAATACGCCTCAACGGTTGTGATTAATTCTATCTAACGGCTACAAAAACACCGTTTCAAATTTGACGATTAACCCCAAATGGCACCGTTTCAAACTCGACAGTTCGTTTTTCAGTTCCGCCTGTTTAACTATTGCAGTTATATTTTTACAACTGTATTTATTACGCACATCCTTCAGAGGGCAATTGTAATATCATGTGCTGACTCTTTGTTAGGCTTCTCACATAGGCACACTTAAGCCCATTTCAATACTCCTGCCCACTTTTACTCATTCTTAATTTTTCCAAGTGTTTTACTTTGGCAACCGACCTAATGACTCTAGTCATACTCATCTCTTCGGCTCCAGCCACAGCGACTCAGTGTCACATGCTTTACTTCGGCTCCGGCCACAGTGACTCAACGTCACATGCTTTACTTCGGCCTCGGCCACAGTGACCCAGCGTCACATGCTTTACTTCGGCTCCGACCACAGTGACCCAGCGTCACACGTTTTACTTTGGCTCCGGCCACAGTGAACCAGCGTCACATGTTTTACTTCGGCTTCGGCCACATCGGCTTCGGCCACATCGGCTTCGGTCACAATTACCCAGTGTCACACGTTTTACTTCAGCTCCGGCCACAATGACCTAGTGTCACACGTTTTACTTTGGCTCCAACCATTGTGACCTAATGTCACATACATTAATAGTATTGTATAACATGCTTTTCACATGACCTGATCTTGTATTTATCACCTGCTATCATATACTTCCCTTACCACATCATTCACAAGTGAATGACTTCGAGGGGGAATAGTGTAAGGATAGGTTTGAGGTGCCCAACCTCGGACGTACAACAGTAATTCCTTTATAATCGAAGTGAAGGATAAACCCAACACTTCCCGCTCAAATAGCTGCATGATAGCAACGATGAGCATGCCCGCACCTGATCCCTTATGACAAGCTACACAACAGTTACGATGAACATGCTCACATCTGAACATCTCTCAATTTCCCAGTCCTGAAATAACCGTCTAGAAAGACACGTCAGACTCCGATTATCTTGCTTGGCATGCCATGTGGGTTCCTCACTGAAGCCTATAAATACCCCCCCAAGGGCCACGTCAAAAAGGTGATTGAAACCAACCTTAAGCTCATTTTACCTTCATCCTAAAGGTAGCCCCGATTATTGCTGACTTAAGCATCGGAGTGTCTACCCCAAGTTCCACCTCGAGGCTTTGCAAGTCAATCCGGAGTGCAGATGCGAACTGAAGAAGGACTTTTGGTTTGATGCAATTACAGATTTGTTTTGGTTTATTTTGAGCAGTGGATCGTGTTTCTGGCTTGGATAAACCCGATCCAATAAAAAAAATGGTTAAAATATATATATAATTATTAATTAATTAAATGAGTTAGTTTAATTTATGATTAATGAAGTTAATTAATTTTAATTAAAATAAATTAATCACATTTATTGAGTTTGATTTGAGATAATTAGATTTATTTAGTTATCTCAATTAATGATTAAGAAATGTGATTAATTAATTTTAATTAATCTTAATTACTGTTAAGTTAATTATTTAATTAAATTAATTATCTTGATTAATTAATTTTAATTCTCAATTAACTTTAATTTGGTCAAAGTCAAAGTTATCTTTTATTTTATCTCGATTTTACCCAAAAGTTTTTATGATTAAGCAATTTAGTCTCAAGGTTTCAAATCTTTTTAAATCAATCCTCCATGTTTTCAAATTTAATCAAATTAGTCCCTTTAATTCTTCTTTGTGCTTATGATGCATGCATATCTTTGATTTTGTCCATTTTAGTCCAAAAATTTAAAAAAATGTTTCAATTTGGTTTACCCTTCTTTCAAGCTTGCTTATTAAGACTTAAATACAAACATAATCAATAAGTTGAATCAAAACCCCAATTTTAAAGACCGTGTTTAAACGAAGGATTGTGAGGCATGCGTATGCCCTTCCTCACTCCTAACCGAACCCCCGAACCCCGATCTCTGCGCAGACCCGTTTTAGGTGACTTGTCCCACCTTATAATTTGGATGAGTGGCGACTCCCTTTTCTTTTATATTTTTACACTAGATAATTTTTCATTTATTTTGAAAAAAAATCTTAAGTGGTCATCAACAAATATGTTGATTTGTTTTGTTATCCTTAGATTTAATATTAGGAGGTGTTAAGGTTTGCAAAAGGTGAAAGGAAAGGAAGAGGAAGAAGAAAGGGAAAAAGGAGAAACAAAGGAAGAAAAAAAAAAAGGAAAAAGAAAAATTTTAAGGTTTTTTCTTGCCCATCTCATTTTTTTGCCACGCTATACATCCTAGGTGTCAAAATGCTTTTACATGTCATCATTTTCACGTCAAGTAACAGGACACATAGGCAGATATTTAATAGAATGACCAAATCAGGGTAAAAATGATAAATAGTAGGGATCAAATCAGGAATTTTTTTAGTTTAAGGATCAAATTTGAGGTTTGTACAATAGTTCAAGGACCAAAATGAAGATTTTAACCTTAAAATTTTGTTTTAAGTCGAACATATGGTGGGACCTATCGAGACATAGACCATGTGGTGAGGTTGACATTGCTGGCCTACAAAATTGGTGCCGAGGAGATTTAACGTGTGCGTAAATAATAAGGACCTAATGTTCATCTGTTGCAGGTAACCTTGGGATCTATGTTAGTTTTGTCTTTATTTACCCCAATCAAGATGCAAAAGCCCTTAAGATCATTGACCAAAAAAAAAAAAGGCCCTTAAGATCAATAAGGTTAGGGGCCAAAGCATGAGTTTTTTCCAAAAAGTACGCGTTGGCCCCACGTAGGGTAATTATAGGCTAGGAAGATAAGGTCCACTAAATTAAGCCGAAGTGATTGGCGGAGGTGGACTTGGAGCTTCTAGAGCGATCACATCTTGTTTAATGAATAATGCATGCACGTGTGAGGGCAAAATTAGCTCTATTTTGATTGCAGCTTTTTTTTATCTTAAATTCAATCATTTCTAACTCTTTAATTCCCAATTCATCTTAATAAGAGATGAGGACTTCGGCTCATTCTAGGAAGACCAAAGGAACTCTTCAGCTCATCTTAGAAAGAGCTGGCCAGTCACTCAAAGGTTGTGTTACACCTTTGGCTGGTTAGCTAGTTATTCAAAAGTTGTGTTGGAACCAACGCCTCACAATACGAGTGTGCCATATGACCAAGGTGTAGAGTTCAATCCAACCTAGACTAAACTCGACTTAGTTTGATAGTTCAAACCATTGATGAAGTGATAGGATTGTTAAGATATATTATTACAAATATCTAACTAAATACATGGCATTAATTTAGCAATTAGGGATGAGCATTTTTTTTTTTAATCTTAAGTTACACAATAAAAAATAACTTTTTCTCATTTCTTAATTAACCTTATCCATATGTTATGTAATTCAAATTTAAAATTTTTTATTTTTATTAAAAAAATTATTATTAAATTATTTAGATGATTGATAAGATGTGCATTAAGCATGAGTATGTTTAGATAAAGATATATATATATATATATAGATAATGAGTTAAGTAATAGGTATGATGGTTTTACTTTTATGCTAGACCTATTTACCCAATTATTAAATTATAACATTAGCAAGCACGCAGCTATAGGTTTAGATCTTATATTTTGTAATAAAATATGAACACAGTGTAGGTCTTCCATTCACTCAAATATGATGTTTTTATGTGTACTTGACCTATTTACCGAATTATAACATTCGCCAGCACGCAAATATGGATTTAGATCTTACATTTTGTAATGAAGTATGAATAGTGTTTGCAACTCTTCTATTCACTCAAGTATGTGCCATGTAACTTGAAAGAAAGTTTAATCTTCTATTAACTTCAAAGAAATGTATTATATGATGCGTACCATATAATATGTACTATGTACTTTATACGCAAGTGTTCTATTCGATTCTATCAAAAGAAATAAATAGTTCTAACCGAGAAACCCTCGACCCCGAGAAGCATGTCAAAACCCCAAATTTACTGGCTTTTTCCTAACGGCATCAAGGAAAAAGGGACAAAAAAAAAGGGAGCAAAAGAAAGTCATTTCATTGGAAGAGAGACGTTAAGGAGATTATAGTATGAAGACGTAGGCCTAACTCGAAGAACTTCTACATAAACGAGTAAGAGTTAAGATCCTTATACACACAACTCTCACCCACATCATCATTCATTTATTCATCATAAATAGTTGAGATTTATATAAATTGTTTTAAATAAAAGAAGACAATTTTCTTTAAAAAATATAAAAAGTAGATAAATTTTAACCATTCATAATAAATCAATAAATAGTCAAAATTTTATATAAATTATATGTGTCAGAATTGTGCAAGTGGACAGCAGTTCTGACCCTCAATTCTTCCATTTAAAGAGGAATTTCCTAAGTAGATAATCTGTAATCTATGCCTTACAACTCTTCCGGAAATCCCAGTACGTTAGCCATTGTTATGACAAAAGGGGAAGAAAGGGGTAGCATATAAAATCCCTTTCTGCTCTTTTTTTCTACAATTAAAGTGGCAAACTGTAGGTTCAAATTACTTTCAGAACTAGGCTTTGCACTTCGAAGAAGGCACAAATGCGCTACAAAACTATGAAAATAATTAAAAGAAGAAAACATTAATGGTTGTAAAGCAACCGGAAATTGTATTAGCCCAATGTTATGATACAAGGTTCACTTTCAGCAACTTTTACCTTCAATAAAATATCCACCAATGGGTGAATTCACTTTCTTGACATCCTTTGGTAAGTTTACAAGCTACTCTGCACAAAACGAAAAATGAAAAAAGGAAAAAATAATGTGAGACCATCTTGGACTAATCATGACAATATGAGCATGACTGATGCAGATTTGATCTTCCATATTGTTTCCATGATGATTAGAAAAATGGATTAGGATATTTTTTTATACAATACAACTATGTCTGATCATCAAACTCTATCCTCTTCAGCAACTTATACAAAATGTACTTACTTAAGAGTGCTTTATTGAGAGGACATATAAAAAAGCACAAATTTTTGGCTGATGAGAAAAAGAACAATGAAAATTAAGATGATATTGAAAGATAGTTGATTTTACCTCAATCACTTTTGACAAATTAAATTCAATCCCTCCTAACTCCCTACAAGAACAAACTGTATGCCGCCCTTTCAGCCTGCTGCTTTTATTGCACCTACTTCATCAATTTTTGAGCTTTTATGCTGCCACAAAAACACTTAAGTTAATTGGAGAACGAAAATAAAGAAGATAGTAGAGTAGATACTGGGGAATTATCATGCACTTTATAAGAGATAAGAGACAGAGATGTAATGTTGAACAGACAGGAATATACACCAAAATACACATCATCCAAAAAAGAAATAGAGCAAAATCAATGATGATCTGCATTACCTTACTTTTTTTGTGTCTGTGAACATCATTCAGATCTTCATCTCCATCATGCTTCCTTTTCTGCAATTGTTAAGAAAAAAAAAAACGTTTATTTAGGACTGCCTTGCAAGTCAAGGCAAAAAGGACAATTTTAGTGTAAGTTTGTGTGACAAATTCAAGATATGCTTAATTTGAACATGTACAAAAACAGAACATGGTTTCTTCCTCTGCCATCAGCAAAATCATTTATACCCAATAATCAAAAGAGAAAAATAATCATAAGGCATCTAGGTTCAGTTGTAAGAGGATAAATTAACGCTGTGTGGTTTCAAGTTGAAATCCCCAAGCTGACACACATTTAAGGTCCTTATAATTTTCCTAGGGCTGACTAAATGATTAAGCAATAGCTGAAGAACATAACCACAGCAAACCTTGTCATGTTGTTTCTTCGAGTGATCAGCTCCTGAATCATGTAGCACCCCTTTCTCCTTCTTCTTGTCCTTGTCTTTATCTTTACCTCGATCTTTATCTTTATGGCGGTGTTTGTGCTTCTTATGCTCTTTATCCTTGTCCTTATCTCTGTCTTTATGCTTCTTATGCTTCCTGTCCTTATCTTTGGATTCACTTTTTGATTTTCTAGAAATTGTAGGAATCCCCCTTTCCCCCTAAATGGAAGATGACTAGTTTAGAACAGCAACCAAAATGGAAAATATATAAATCTGGGACAAAATGCAGATAAGAAAATTAAGTACTGAATGGCCATCAAATTTTATAATTAACCATCCAGTAATACAATCTAAAGACGTTCAGTCAACATAAGTAACTAAATTGAAGCAACAAAACAAAGTTCAACGCAAAGCAACAGAACTCTTACAGGAGGCAAATCAACATGACCAGTTTCCCTCAGCTGGAAGGCTTCTCTGAAAACATCAAGATCAAAAGGCTGTATACGGGTATTAGTGTATGACGTATTCTGAAGAAGCTGGTCCAGTTGCATCCCTTCTCCTTTTCTGATTTCTGTGTCTCCCACCACATTATGAAGATAATGTGTGTCTGAAATTGACAAAGGAAGAGGTCCCTTGCAGAAGAACTCATGGTGAAGCAACAACTTGTAGTGACTTACAAGATCAATAGCACCAGTTAGTTCCCTAGGTCCTAAATGTTCAGGCAGAAGAGAATTTTATCTATTTAATGATCAGAGAAGCATAAAGCTCAAAATGAAACAACTTTACAAAAAAATATTACAATCAACTGGCATAGATCAGCACCCTATGAAGGCATTATCATAATTTTCTCTCTCTTTTTTTTCTTTATTTTTTCGAACAAAATAGAAGTTGACCCTATTGCAAAATTGAACCCTAACCTGGACCCCAAAATCACATTTTGAAGTTACCAGATACCAACTTGGATAATAATGCTGTTTTGAAGGCATTATCATCAAATGATTTTAAATTAACGTTAGAAACCAACACCATACCATTTTCTCAGATACAAATGAATTACCCACCCAGAGTTGGAGAAAGAGAAAGAAAGGAGGGAGCAGAACAAGAAACAAACAGAATGCTAGATAATAACACTGTTAAAGAAATTTTTTGACAAAAAAAAAAAACAGAGGAAGAAGAAAAGAAAACAAAATGTTTCTATCTTTTGTTACATCCAGGGGAGGGTAAGGGGCCAGCAGGGAATGGAACCTTGGACCTATCCCCATAACAATCAACAGACCAAGCTTGTTGTTTTTGTCAAATACATAAAGAGAATTTTACATTTTTTTAATAAAAATTTTTCTTAGAAGGCAGCCTTAGAAGAAGTAAGAAAGCTGAATCCTGATTTACCTTTTTCTCTGATTTTTGTTTTTTTTTTAGAAAAACATTTGAAAATAAAAATTGAGTCTCAAAGGTTGAGTTCTGAATACACAGAAAATGATGATCATTTATTTTCCTAAAGAATCTAAACAAGCATAAAATCTTTTTACTTATAGCTATTCAGAATCATTCATCCTTGGCATTATAAACCAATATTTTTATCCTTAACAATGAAAAAGACTTTATCCAGTGTATGAATGCTACATAAAAATGTCAAGAATACATCCTTCAAAAGACGGGCTATTTTTGGCTTAACTCAAGATCTCAAGGAAATGCTTGCTTTAGAAGAAAACTTTCGCAATTGGCTTATTAGGCAATAGAAAAGTGCGAAAGGATGACGAAGTCAACTACATAGACAAAGACAGACAATTACTGCCTAGCACAATTAATGAAGCTTGAACCTAGTTGAAGAAGATATAAACCAGATATTATAATTGTATCACAATGTAGTTTCTTAATTTCATTTCTTTATTGCTTTCCAGCTTTTCCTTCTAAGTGAAAGCAGAAAATGAATATAGTTTAAAGTTTCTAAAATGGTTTAATATACCAACAAAAGATTTAAAAATAAATAAATAAAACAACTGAGCCATCTAACAACATAGGGATGAACAGTATTGTCAGCATACAATGTTTTTTCAAGGGATTAAAACATAAGTAGCAACCCGAACAAAATAAATATAATGGAAAACGAATAAGAAGCCAATATTTTACCTCCTCCAAACTTTTTGCCTTCAGGATCCATTAGTTAATGATTAATGAAGAAATACACCATTATCAACTGCAATTTTACAAAGAAAGTGGGAGAAAATGCTCAAAACCATAAATAAAAACTATCTTCCTCTAAAATAAAAATGCAAGGAAAAAAGGTATCATGAAAATTAAAGAAGAATCAAATAAATATTTACATTATTATGTTCTCATATTGGATAAAAAACCATTTTCTATCATATTAGCCATATGAATAGCATATGCATAGTAACATAGTTTGTAACTGATTATATTTTTCTATATTTTTTCTATTTCAAGAGTGCATGCCAAAACCAAACTAACGCCATAAGCCTAACTTTAGTACATCATACATCTTCACTTGGTCAAAAGTAGATTTCAATATTCAAGATTCAATTACTTTTTAATTTTCACCTATAAGTAAAACCAGTGTTACCAAATATTTATTGACACTGGTCATCCTATCGTCTGATTGTCTCATTGTCTTAGGAACTTGCAGAGAGGCCATCAAGACAATAACTTTTATCCTAGTAAACTATAGAAAAGGTAACCTTGCAAAACTGAGATTGATTATAACAAAGCACTATCAAAATCTATAACTAGTAGCCATAGATAGTTACTTTCCCTCCTTATCAGTGATGGAAATTAGAATTTGAACTTTCTTACAAAATGAAAACTCCCAATCAATCATTTAATTTATTGCACTGTGAATCAGAAATAGGGAGAAAACTGTTGAAGGCAAAACCAAAGAAATTGCACAACTTCAGCTTAAGTGTATAAAAACTACAGAGAGGATAAAATGGAAAATATTAAATAAAGAACCCATAGCCAAATAATTACCGAGCCAAAAAGATAACTAATATGATTTCTCAACATTTAATCCAACAAGATGTCGAGTATGGGCCCATCCAAGTACTTACAAGAAAATTCTAGCTCAAGTAATCAACAGTTAGTTTAAACAATACCAAAACTTTGAGCACCTTCAAGTTTGGAAGGCTACTCTTTACTACAGTACCATCTTAAATGATTAAATCCATGACTACTGCAGTCACGTCTAGCTTTTAGGTTCTATTTTTGTAACTCAGTTTTCATTCGACTACTAACATTAACATCATTCGATTATTTCACTCCAAATAAATAAGCAATGTTCTAAACATCACGGGTCAGCTATCCAACAACTTCCATTAATTTTCCAGGAATTTTTTTTTTTTTCAATGCTCCTTTCCTGCAAACTTTCATTTCACCTCAGAACTTCAACTTTAAGAAGTTAAAATCTTCCGTGATATGACATTTATTTTCCTTGAGCGCATAAAAAATAACGCAAAGCAGAAGCATTAAACTCGACATAAATTTTCATCGAGCACAAAGCAGAAACATCATCGAGCACAAAGCAGAAACATTTACTAGGAAAAATAACGTCTTTAGTAGAATAAATAAATTCCAAAATTTAGCATTCTCAGACCTCATAGACTTCTACAACATGGAAAATTAAGTCGCTTCATTGAATACCTCCAACATGAATCCCAAAGTTACTATTCTTTTCCTTCAGATCACAAAACCCAAATGCTAAATTCAAATTCCTTTTCCCCTCTCCAAATCAGTCCCCCCCTCAGTTCCAAGTAGCAGCAAGCCTACACAAACAAAATCCAGACAGGAACCCTTGATTACCAAACATTTCAAAATCAACATTTCTTCAGTAACATTAAAACCGAAATCAAAAGCGGGTGAATTTGACCAGTGCATTGCAGGGACAAGACGAGCTTTCAATGGAACTGTAGAAGGTTCAATTAATGAAATTGGAGTGGAAGTGGAGAGTGTGGGAGGGCGGGATTGAGAGATCAAAGAAGGTTCGAGAGAGTTCGAGAGCTGGGGAGCAAGGAAGAGGTTCTAGGGTTTGGAAGCAGGCGAAGGAATTAGTACTAGTCCTCTGGCTTGCCTCTGACGGCCTCTTTGCGGCAGATTTATTTGTTTTATATAAGTATTTTTGGTCCGGCATTTATTATTCCAAAATCCAATTTCCCCGCTAATGCTAGATTGTATTTTAGGATTTATAAAATATAATTTTATTTAGTTAGTATATTTTTAAAAAAAATTATAAGAAGTCAGATTCGAATTCTGAAAGAAAAAGATGTAATTTAAACATGATTTAATATTATTAGACTCGAAAACTCAAATGTATGTAGTTGGTATATTTAAAGTATAGTTAATTTTATTAATTTATTTAAATTATTTTATTAAAAATATTTTAATAAATTTATAAGATAAATTTTAATTTTAATTTATGGCACATTATGTAAAATACTTATTTATTTATTTTTTCGTACAAATATTTTTGGGTAAACCATAGCTTTTCATTCTTAACCTTCACTTCAGGCCTGCCGTCATCTCCTAACTTTCGGAAATTAACCACCATTGTCCATTAGTCCTTCCGTTAGCCAAAAACCTTTAGTTTTAACGAAATGTTGACATGGTCAATAATGGGCCCGCTTGAACCGTATAGAGGGAAAAACGAAAAAGCCTACTACATTTCCTAATTCCTCCACAGCAGGTTAAATAATCACGAAAAAGACTTCCAATGCATTTTCATCTAATACATTTTTTAGATTTTTACAATGCCTCGAAGAAAAACAAATCATGCTATTCACAAGGACAAATCACGTGTTCCATGCACTGCTGCTGTAAAAGGGAAACGAAAAACGAAATCTCCAGCCCTTTCCCTTTATAATTGAAAAGGAATTTAATTAGAATTTATCAATACTTCAGCATCCCCAAAAATTAGTATTATTTCTCCATACCCAAATTATTTATTGGATCCACCTGACACGCCAAAGGACCTACTCTTAATTTACTTTCTCGTAAAATAAATTGACAACTTAAGAAAGATAGATTTTTGTTACTTCTTTTTTTTTTTTTTATACAAAAACATGAGCTTTATTTATCCAATAAAAGACTTAGCAACACAATTTGTAGAAGATACTATTTTAATTCAATATAAAGCAATCAATCTTGAACAGAAAAGTCACGCTTAGCAAATCCAAATATTTTTTCCCTAACATCAACTAAGAAACTACCTCCCAACCTAACTTAACAATAATTTAACAATTTTTCAAGTCAAAATCTATAAAAATTTTATAGTCTAACAAGCAATAACTTTTTCTGATCAAGATTTAAAACAAGTTATTAGTGGTAACGTGGAATCCAAACTACCACTAATGACGATGGTCAATGAGGGCTTGATACCAATTGAAATGAAAATTAAAGCCCACTATTTGTCTAATAATTTTTCCAGCCAAAACTTAATTCAAGTTATTAATAATAATTAATTTTTACATTTATATACTAATCACAATTATATTTCTATCATAATGTGGAATTTGGGATGTTATAGGGAAAAATTTTATAGGAAATTAAAATTGTGATAGCCCACTAGGCTTGGGCGACAAAATGGGTTAAGGTCCATTTTGGACTGGAGTGTGTGGCAAAAAGAAAAAGGGAAGAAAAATCTTATCCTTCTAATTTGACTTGAAAACTAAGTTTATTAATTTTAATTGGATAATAATAGCATGTTTTTTACTTTTTGTTGAGGGATGGATTTGTATGGCTTTGAGAATGGTAACATGTGCAGCTCCATGTTAGCAATAACCCATATGACTTATTTTTCACATTAGACATGCTATTCTTATTTTTTACTGATTACTGCAATAGAGTTAGCATCACCAAAAGCGACATTCATCTACTTCGTTGGAAATATTGTAGAATGCAGCCCACTCCAGCACCTATTTTTATATACATGGCCAAACATGGCTAGATCTATTTCTATAACATGGCTTGACATTTTTTACGGTCATGTCTTTCGCAACGATATTCACTACTACATCTTATAGTTCCCAGTGATGAACAAAGAGCCAGATTTGTTATCTCACTTAGTCTTCAGCAATGAGTAAAAGGCTATAGACAAGGGGTTGGATTTTTACATATCTTATCTCATTGGCTCCGAGAAACAAAAAAAGAGTCAATGCAACTCGGTACAATTAGTGTGAGGCTAATAACAGTTGCAACCCTAAGATTGGAGGGGATGGTTACCCTCCAACGATAAAAATCCATCAAATAACAGCCGGTGGTTGCTCGTGCATGGTGGTGCGGTGCCTGATAGGTAACAATGACCAAGACCACCCTCTGATGGTGTGGGTATGGCAAGAAGGGCTAGCATTTGTTAGTGATATCACACCTTGTCGTATTGGAGGCCATGGATGTGGCTAATGTCCCCCTTCCATGGAAACAACTCCACCTGTCTTTGCCACATATTCATCATTGTGGCAGAGTCTACCTTAGTGAGATTTACCCTTTTGTGACTTGGCGGATTAGTGGGAGTGCTCTTCCAATTCCACATGGTTTGCGCTCAAACCATGGGCAAAGCTAGCCACTGTTGTCTTTCTGGCTCTATGGAAGTTATTCATGGCCAACTCTACGATATTTACATGGTTGACGGCCATGCACATCATTATTTTCTCACATAAAGGAACAAAATTACCGATCGTCGATAATCTCAACTCATAACATATATCTTCAATGTGTTACGTGTTAGTAGCTATCGCCAACCAATGATGTTTGGCTCAAGACAACAATATCGTAGCACACATCAATATTACATATTCTTTGTCTTGGCGCAATGCCAACCATGTACAGCAACAATATACAGGCGTTCACCATGGCTAGTAGACAAAAGGGCGTAGCGAGCTTTGATCCACATCATCCCCTTTAATACACAAGGGAGTACCCTTCTTCGCTACATATATCCATACATTTTGCATTTAAATATTTAAATATATACTTATTTGTCTCTTGTTTTCATTGTAGATAAACATAAGCCCATGAATCCAAGCTCATGGGAATTACTCAAGATAAACTATGAGAGTCATGGCTTGGCAGGCATGGATGGACAGGTGTTGCCCACTTGGCGAAACGAGGTATTCGCATCAGCGAAACTTGGCGCTAATGATGTCACCCAACTTCGCCAAAAAGGGTTGGGTGACGAAGATGTGGAAGTGGAGCTGATCCCAAAATTGTACCATCTGATGCTAACTAAAAGCTCAAAATCCTCTTAAAAACTAACAAGAAATGCTGTTTTAGTCCCCATCATCAAGTTGCAACTGCATTTAATGCAAAAGTGACTGCATAAGTTGCATTATGTTGGGAACTATTGAAAAAAATTGCATTTTGCTTAGGGAATTTTCCAAAATCCTGAGCAGATTTTATGTTTGCTGGCTACACTCAAGTATCCTCCCAAAAATAGAATTTTGTATGGCTGGAGGAATTGCCAAAAATAGGTAGTTTCTAGTCTTTCGCTACACGAGCAAAGTTTCGCTAGAACCATTGGGTAATTCATAATATCACTGCCAGAGAGTTGTCAACAGTGCCCAAGGCTACTAAAAGCTTGACAGCTCACCCAAATCTACCTGTTAGCTACTGCACCTCTTACCCATTAACCCAAAAATCATAGAAATCCCACTGCACATATATATATATATATTATTTTTCCTTCACTTTTCAACAAACCAAAACAGATTTCACAACTTAAAGCTTTTTTTTCCCTTATGCACCAAAAACCTCCTTTCTTCCTCTTAAAAATACTTCATGCTCAATCTCTCATCCTATACACCGAAATCACCCAAAAATCACCATTTTCTCCATTTTTTTCTACACTTCTAGCACTGCAAAATAATTTTCAGACTTACAGAACATTATGGTTGGGAGGCAGCATGTTTCAGTTTCAACTTCTAGGTAAACTTTCTTGAGCATCAAAGGATCAAGCCACTCCACTCATGAGCCCCTAAGCGGTCATCCTTCCTTTTCCCATCACCACTTTCAAGTTTATTCCTTTTGTTCTTAAAAGAGCTTTAAAGGAGGGATTGTTGTATTTTCCATTTACAATATGAAGGTTGCTCATTATAGGGTGAGGGTATTTACTAGAGATGGTAGAGGTCACATTTACTATCATTATTATTATGTCACAATACTTTATGTATGAATGTGATTCTCAAGTTGTGATTCTTAACCTTCATGTGTTCACTGACCTTGATGCTCATGCCACAATATATATTTCCTCTTCATACTTTTTTGTAGTTGTGTGATCATTCTCGACTCTTGGAACTTTGTCACCCTTGCTCATCTCCCCTCTTCACAACTTGGCTAGCAAATTTATACTTTCAAACTTTGTTGCTGGGCATGATCGTTGGACGAAACGAGATGACCCGTAGCACATAGCTTTTTGCACGTGGAACAGGTGCTGCCAAAAGGACCTTCCTCATCTTTCATGAGTGGCATCTTACCTCATCTTTCATGAGTGGCATCTTAGTCAGCCTCCACATCATCGCTGCTGCTGACTCATCATCCAACATTACTAACACACCCCAATGCTTTCATTAATATAAATAATTGTAGAAAACCTTAAATCCCTTACTAAAATTTTTTTCTCTGTCACAAAATTACTCTTTACAAAGTAGAAGAAAGATTAAACTAAATTCTCAATTACCATCAAAGTTGAAATCTAGTCTAGAGGAGTTTTACCCTTAAACTCTAGGTATCATGTAAAAGTTGCATATTACAGCTATGCATCAAAGAGGCATGCTTTTTTGAAATATTGATCCTATACTTCTTTAATAGTCAATAGATTCATAAGAATCTTAAATGGGTTAAAAAGAAAACCAGATTAGTTTTTTGAAATATTTTAGCTTTTGTTGTGCTCTCTTAAACCCAATAGTATACTCTTATCCCCAAAGAATTGTCATTTTTGACACAATTTATCTCAAATTATTATTATTATTATTTTTAAAACAAATATATATTTTTTTGGTTTTAATCCTAATGCCCTATTGTTACCCCTTCATGTCCCTATTACCAAAATTTTTTCATTTTCTTTATCTCTTATTAACGGTAATATACCTAAATACAAAAATTACGCTTGTGGTATAAAGGACTTATAGAAAAAAAAAAAAAACTTCAAACCATGGTAGAAAGTTACAGAATACCTGTTGAAATTGTTTAATCGGATGTTCAAGGGTTAGACAAATTAGAAAAAAAAAAAATAATAAGACTATGTTTTTCATTTTTATTCCTTGTTTAATAGAACCCTCCGTTCACTTCCCCTCCAATTTTCTCGTTATCCAAATACCGTCTCGTCTTCATTAGTTATCTAAATCCCTTAATTTTATATAAATTAACTTAACAATTTTTATACAATAAACAAAAAAAAATTTAAAATTTAAATTAAAATACTTAACAAAATTATATATATATATTTTTTCAATCATCACATAGTTACTATATAAAATTATTTAATCAAAATTTATATAAAAATTAAACTGAAACAACTAAAAATCAACAAGCAAGATTATAATATTTTTCTCTTTTCTATTTCCCCGCCGAACATACCCAATCTTTCCCTTGTCTTAAATAAGCGGAAGGTTATTTAGTAGTGTTCTGTGATTTACTATTTACTTTCCAAACATCTCGCCTGTTTTCATGTTAAGGAAAACACTATGATTTAAATTAAATTTGGATATTAACTAGTGGGAGCAGTTGCCCCCACAGTTGATTCTTCCCGGTACGTAACTAATTCACAAACATTTCTAGCAATATGTCACAACTAGTACCATTACAAGAAAGCTATTTACACTCCTTAGAAAGGGAGGTACTTATACAAAATCTATATCATTATTTACCTTACGTTCGGCTTCGCATCCCTTTTCCTCTTTATCTTGTCCATCCCTACTAACGTTTACAGCCCGTTTGGAATGCTGGATTAATTGTGGGATTGGATAAAAAGTAATCTTGACCGGCCATAAACCGCGTTTGGGGACGCCAACGGATTGGATAAAACATAACCCGTGTTTTGTCCAATCCCATCCTATAGTAATAAAATTTATCCGATGTACCCATTGGGATATAGTGGGATGGGATTTAATTTTTGACCGACTTAAAACCAAAATCTCTCTCTTGCCCTTTCCTTCCTCCCACTGTCATCGCGATTGGCCTTCCAATTCTCGTGATCTCGTCAGTCAGTTGCCGTTGTCGGTGCCACTCCATCGAGGTTCACTCCATCGAGGTTCACTTCGTCGAGCGTTCGGTAAGTCTCAGATCCAGCTTTTCTTTCCCATTTCTTCGTTACCTATAAAACTCAGATCTATCCCATTTTTTCTCACCTGTAGAAATCCTGCGATTCCTCTGTTCTTTCTTCTCCGATCTTGAGCTGCTCATTCCGGTAAGGCTGTAACCTTTATTTTTGTTCTTGGGTATTTCGTTTTTGCTAATTCTGTAGAAAAAATAGAGGAATAGCACCCAATTTCATCTTAGCTATCCATCTCTGGAATTATTTGATATACTATTCAAATTTGGGAACGAAATTTCTGTATTTTTTGCAAATTCAAATATGTTTTTTCTAAGGTTTTTTCAAATTTGGAGTTGTCTTTTCATTTTGGTAGCTTCTTGTTGGCTGGAAAATAATGGGTTATTGCTGGATTTGGATTTCAACATTTTTGGTCTATGGAAAATGATGGGTTCTTTGTTTTCTACAAGTGATTGTTTAGATTTATACTTGTAAAGTTGCTGAAATTTTGCTTTCTAGTGTTTCGACAGTACTGAGTGTGTGCAAGGTATCTGCTGTCTTGTAATTGAAATTGAAATTAGGAATTTCATTCCTTTCAAACATTGCAATGAATCCCGTTTATTGAATTTATCTTGATGAAGGTATATCATTGTTAATGCATTAAAGATTAGTTTAATGATGCATTTCAGACAGTTTCTGCACAGTAAATACTCGAATGCATTCTTAAAAAAATATAAATAATACACGTTGGTATACAAGTGTAATTACATAGCCACTTATCATTTTGTTAAAACCACACTCGGTACACTAGCCATTTTCTTTGTATTTGAGGTGCCTAACCTCTCAAATTCTCATATTCAAAAGAAAGAAAAAAAAAAAAAA